TACTTGTTTTTTTTTGCTCCAACAGAAATATGGCTATTCTGAAAGTGTTTTCTTTTCTTCATAGCTTAATAGATGGATTTTTCCTGCTCATGCTAATAATATTACGTTTCTCTCTCCTAATATGCTGGCTATTTTCTTCCCTGCATTTAACATCTTTTATACTTACTTCATTTCCTTATTGTATTGAGCATTTACTGCTCGATTTCTCCACTAGATCAGTTCCTCAATGAGAATGGAAATTTTGTCTACAAGATTAATATTCTCCGGTGTTTGGCATGTGAGGAGGATGTTAAATGAATGAATGATGATAGAGGCTAAAAGTTGAATTCATTTTTATAAATGAAACAACTTTTGGCTAAATATATTGTTGCAGTAGTCCTAATGTTTATCAGATAAGCTTATGACTTAAGAATTGGGTAATGGCCTATCCTTACTGTTACTGGTATTTATAAGAAAAAAATAAGTTCCGCATAGGCTTGTCTACATTTATTTTATGTGGTTTCTCAAGCATTTAGATTTTAAAGTAGGATATAATGGAGTGCTTTTCTTGTTTGATATGACATATTTGTTCATTCTCAGTGAAATGTGGAAAATTTCATCTCTCTAGCAATGTGCTTATTACTATCGACAATCTTCTTTGATAGAACTGATACATGTGATTCTACTCATGTGGATACAAATGCAATATATTCCCAAATTAAAAATATAACAGATATGAATGGGCAAAAGGATGCTATAGGGGGAATTAGGAATTTGCTTTTGTTTTTCTTTTTTTTTTTTTTAGTGATACTTCTCTTTTCAGGTATGGAAGACCTTCCAAAGACATTTTTGTTCAATTAAAACACGGTCATGAAAAAATTTAAAGTATCTGTGCTACTTCAAAACTTATAAATTTATATTTTCTGAAAGAAGGATCAACACATACTTGTATTTCTTTGAAAGATCAGGAAGATATTCTCATCATAATAATGAAAATGAAAACAAAATAATCAATACATCTAGGGCGAAAGCTTTAAATAACTAATTCATGACATATTCTGGAAGAAGTAAGGCTTTTTAAAACTATATTGGTCCAATAGATATGAGATTTCATAGCCAATTAACCCTTCAGAGGAAGAGGAAAGAAGCCAGAATGAAAAGTTTATGTGAGACTAGTAGAAAGCTATTGGGCCATGCTGTCTTATATTTTTGCAGAGACCCGAATAGAAAATTTCTAGTCATAAAGTTTGAGCTCATTTTACAGCATAGATCATTTCAAAACAAAGTCATAATTATAGTGACAACAACTGAATAGACTCACTGGGCAATATATTTTATTTATATCTACAGGTTGAGAAATGCACTGAAGCATGAGGATAAGCATGTATAATCAGTTGGAAAGATGGAGAGGGCGATTTTAACAAAGTCAAGGATTTGGTGTGGTTCACTGACATTTGCCCAAGTGGGCTCCTGTTTCAAACTCACGTTGACAACATAACACTTCATTGCTTTGCGGCCAATTCTACATAATAACCTAGTTCTATTAAGGATCAAGTTTTCAATTCTGTGTTATTTGAACTATACCTACCTTATCTTGTCTTATAATTGCAATTGGAGATCACTATACCTTCCTTATAATCTCAAACTACATTATAGTAGCCTTTTATAGCTATACAATAATTGTAGTTATCTTAAGAGCTTAGAGGAGGCAATATTTCCTCAAAAGGTTTTACTAAAGCAAACTAATTTTGAAATCTATTAATTGGATCTAAAAGTGAAAGTATAAAAGTGAAAGTGATAAAATTAAAGTCAGATGACTTTGCTCAGGCAATATGGCAAATTGATGTGAGAGCTAGAATCAGTATCACAAGCATACCAGGAGTGGATTGTGGTTGCATTCATTGTGTGTAATGTGTACAAAAGTCTTGTATCATCTTCAGGCATTCATTGAACAAGAAACTCATTGACAAAAAAAAAACACTAAAAAAGTCAATTTACTTTTGAGGTACTAAGGTTTGAACTCAGATTTTTGTACTTGTTAGGTAGGTGTTATACCACTTGAACCATATTCCCAGCCCAAATTGGAATTACTTTCATGAGAATTATTTGATGTGAAGATCTCCTTTACACCATTAACATGAGTAAGTAGGATAAAATTTCAATAGTCAACTTCTTAAAGACTGAATATTTTGGAACCTCAAACAAATATAGAGTAAGGGCCACAGAGCTTCCAAATCTAATTTTTAAAAATAATGTGTCCTCTTCCTACCTTCTTGGTCATGTGTAATTACTTTCTTCATTTGTTGGCCTTGGGATTGAAAGAGAGAATATTTTCTCTCACAGGGATGTGGGCCTGATAAAATAGTGACTCAAAACCTTCATCAAATGATATATTTCTATTTATGGAAGAGGAAGCAGAGAATACCAATTTGTGCATCATTCATAAAGTACTATAGGTCCTTCTTTGCTTAGGTCATTCCATGTTTATATTTATTGTTTCAATATAATCATTAATTGTATCTTATCTTAAAAGTGTCAGGTTTAGAAATTTTGTGGTTACCCTAGCACTTCAAGCCCTTGATGAGAAGTAAAAGAAGCACAACTTGAGCTATTTAGATACGATTTCTGGTCCCATTATTCAAGTCAAGAGGCTTACCTTTCAAGTATTTGGTATAAGGGATAGAGTTTACCTTCATGAAAAACTATGAACTATAAATGTTCTTGTCTTTCATCTTTGAAAAGGAAGAAACTGCCTTTCTGAAGCTGGGTCTCTGGTATGAAATGCTACCCACCCTTAGTATGGTTGCTAGGCAGAGTAGCTAATCTAACATAGTGATCACAAGTTAGTTGTAATAAAGACTGTTTTCCTATCTTCTGTGAGTACGCAGGTTAAGCAATATTTATGTGTGAATGTTGATAAGATACTATGACTATCAGTGAAATTTAATACTAACAATTCATGCTGTAGACTGACATCAATTTTCAGGAAGGAAGAAAATAAAGCAAAAGGAGTAAGAGGAGCAGAACATTAAAAGATACTTTGAACCTGGTGCTGGTGGCTCATACCTATAAAGTTAGCTGCTTAGATGGCTGAAATACAGAGAATCACAGTTAAAGCTAGCTCAAGAAAAAATATGACAGATACAATCTCCAAATAGTTTGCAAAATGTGGGGCTGGAGATGTGGGTAGAGTAGTAGAGCACCAATCAAGAAAGCAAACCAAGAAAAAGTGACCCCTAGATTTCAAATCCCATTACTGCCAACCCCCCCCCCGAAAATGAAAAAAATAAATCAACAACAACAAAAACCTCACAAAGATATTTTGAGTTCCTTCTTATCCTCCAATCCCTGCTCAGGCTGCACCTGAGGGGCAAGTCACCATTTCCTAAAATTATCAGTCCTCAAAGTCTTAATTCAACCTAGAATCTAGACTCAAAATCAGTCAATTCATATTTTATTTGTAATATCACATCAGAAAATAGAATTCATTATTGTTTGGAGGCAAGGAAGTTACCAAGGAAATTTTGTTATGCTCTGCAGTGAGAAAAATAAGAAAATTGATTACTTTTAGTATCCTCTTTTTTAAGAGAGACAATGATTGTGCTCTTAATATTTTTATGTCTTTAGTATTTTTAGATGTTTTTAATATTTGCATATTAATTTACCTTCCCTGAAAAACCCATGTGCAGAAGAGTCTAGGGATTTTCCTTGTACTGTCCTCAGTGTTAGCAGATGAAGCAAAACAGGAAGGGCAGGGAAGAAAACACTGCTAGGTGCTGCAGGGACCCTGCGAGCACATTTTGGCCTCAAGCTAGGGCTTCTAGGAATACTGATGGAAAGGCTTTCAAGCTTACTAAAGAGCTGAGCTAGCAAAATTTTGCAATCTGTAGACTGGATAATCTCTTAGGTTTCAAGTAGTTTTGAGATATATGACCCAGAAAGCCTGAAATCCTTCTTGGACTTCTCTCTTGGGTCTTGTTAAAACAGAATCTCTGACAAATCTATCTTCCATCCTTTCCACCTGCAGGAAGTGGGGTGAAGAAGACAGGATACACTTTTTCTCTGCATCTGTTCATAGAGATGTAAAGTCAAGTCTGTATATGAGCTAATGATATTTAAAAAGTCAAGTGTAGGGTTCACTGGGACTATACATTGTTCAGTACTTGGTACTTCTTGTTATTGATTTTTTTTTCTTTTGGTACTGGTCCTGGAGTTTGAACTCAGGGCCTATGTGCTGTCCCTGAGCTTTCTGCTTAGAGGTTAAAGCTCTACTATTTCAGCCACTGCTCTACTTTAAAAAAAAATGCTGGTCCTGGGGCTCAAACTCTGGGCTTGGGTGCTCTCCCTCAGCTTCTTTCTGCTCAAGGCTAGTGCTCTACCATGTGAGCCTCAGTGCCACTTCCAGCTTTTTCTGTGATTTTTTGGAGATAAGAGTCTCACAACTTTCCTGCCTAGGCTGGCTTTGAACTGAGATCCTCAGATCTAAGTCTCCTGAGTAGAAGCCATTGGAATCCAACTCAATGAAACTTTATAAAGGTACAAGGCAGTTTTATGAAGAAACTAAAGAATGTTCAAGTAAGCTACTTAAGGTTATTAGCAAAAAGTAGCTGAGCTGAAATTTTAACTCGGATTCACTTCTGCAGATCTTTATTGTTATTATAAAGATGACGTACAGAGGGATTACAGTTACATAAGTCAGGTAAAGAGTACATTTATTTTTTTAAAAAATAAGTTTTTTATTGTGAAAATACTGTACAGAGGTGTTCAGTTACAGTTACATGAGCAAGTTACATGTTGCCTCCACTTTTGTTTTCCCCCTACCATCCCTTTCCTCCCACCTCTTCAACTGTGGGGCTGGGAAGGTGGCTCAGTGGTAGAGTGCTTGCCTTGCATATAGGAGGCCCTGGGTTTGATTCCTCAGTACCACATAAGCAAAAAAAGCCAGAAGTGGTGCTGTGGCTCGAGTGGTAGAGCTGAAGAGCTGAGGGAAAGCGCCCAGGCCCAGAGTTCAGGCCCCACAACTGACAAAAAAAGTACATTTCTTTTTGCACAATATAACCCCTTCCCTTGTTCTCTTCCAGTGGAGCTCTTCTCGATTTGTCAAATGGCTAACCCTAAAATGTGCAGACATTTAATCCATTTGTATACTATTTATTTTACTTTTCTCTCCTTCTAATGTCTAATAGATATGCAAACCTGGTAGATCTTGGAAAATGTTCTTAGTCTTAGAACGTTTTTTTGACTCCTATCTCTGAGGATCACATACAAGTTACGAACCTTCTCCACATAAAAATGCTTTCCCACCAACATTTTTGCATACTATCTAAGATTGTTAAGATCATCTGACCCTTCCAGACATAACAACTGTAGTTTGGGGCACTGCCTCTACAGTTAAGAGTTCATAGTATTCATATTTAAGCAATTTATATGAGTGTTTGATTTGGAGAAAACCGCATTCACATTTAACGGAGGTATTTGCATTTGTTTTCTCCTTCAGGGGAGAGCTCTGTGTCAGTGTTACAGTTGGCTCTGGTCATTCACTGGCTGCCTGGAAACAGCACAGTTTGTACATTCCATGGCAAGTCTCCAGAAAGGCAGAGAACACTGCTAGGGAGTGGAGGTTTGATGACCACCTCCCCCTCCCCTGGTTCTGACATGAACATTACTGCTGCTGCTGCTGTTGAAAGACCTCATTATTAACACAGCAGATACTGGGAGAACAAAGGGACCATTTTTTTTAGAACAGAGGTCTATCTGTTGATGTTCATTGAATATTTTCTGGTTATGGTATTAAGTTGGTCGGGGTATTGCAGCATGTCTTTTTGGCCTGAGTTCATACAGGCAGCTTTCTCTTAAAGCATGAATGAAGGAGCACATCCTCAGACTCAATACTCCTTTATCTGATACAAGCTTTCACCATTTTTTTTTTGAGAGCATCACATTCTTTCTGGCAAAGAAGAATTAACGAATATAAAAATGGCATGAATTTTGATACCTTTTCACATTTAAAGCTGTCTGGAAAAGAAAATAATCTAAGCAACCATAAAATGTTCTTATGAGATGACAGAAATATAAGCATAGTCTATTGGCCCAATTCTCAGCTGGAAATGGCAACTATTAAACAATTTGCTAGTGGTTGGTGTTGTTGTCTCTCTGAAACCATTCCAGATTTTCTTGGGCACAATGAGCAGAGAACACAGGACAGAGAGACAAAGACCTGAGTTTAGTTCTAATCCTACCATTAACAACCTGGTGATCTCCAATAGGCCATTACCTCTCTGAGCCTAAGCTATCAAGAAGAAAAGTTGAGCTCTAGGGTCCTAGTGAGTTCTACAGCACTATCATTTTATAAAAAGACAAGATTTCTTTCATTTTATGTGAGTTTTTCTAGAGTCCTTGAATCTTGCAACTGAACCACTTGAAATCTGTGATCCATATTCCAAATGCATCACTAACTCCTGGTTACACATCCAGATTGTTCCACTGAGAAATGAAGCCATGTTATAACATTTCTTTTGAATCAATAAGTTTTGTATTCAGGCTCAAGAGAAGTGCATTCCTGATTTACATTGTGTATGCAGTGTAACAGAAATTCAGGAAGTCAATCCCATTTCTGAGTCTTCTCCAGTAAATTTAATCCAATTTCTTATCTTAATTGTTTCTCTAGCAATGATTTGTATTATTTTCCTTACTCTGAAGAGTTCTAGGAGGCACTTGATACTGTTTATTGGAAAATGGCCTGTTAGGCTGAAATATTCCTACTCATGATTTCAGTCATTTCATTTCCACTATCTTGAATTTGTCAAGAATCCTATATTCCAGGCATTCTAGAAAGCTTGAACAGAACATCTTACAAACAATGTGAAACGCAAAACAAAATAAGTAGCTTTCACTGTATTTACACTTTAAAAGATGCAAGTAGAGCATTCACTATATTTTGATGGTAAACACATATAGTCTGATGGAGAAATATGGGAAGTGAAATGCTTGATAATTATACTGGATATTGGTGCCTTGGTTCAAAAAATTATAATTGTATCACAAAGTTGTAACAATAAAGAGATATTCCTTTGAAAATCTCTATCTTATGACATTGAATAGAAGCATTTTGTTTCTTCTTACAGGTTTGTGGTGAACTCATGGAGCCTTTCTCTTTCACATTCTGGTCTCCTCTAGAGGTCGATTCATGAAGTCCTGAATAGCCTCATGCAAAGGAAGCCATTTTTTGATAGATGCCTTCAGAGCTGTAATCCAGCTACATTGAAAAAAAAGAGCCACATTGCATTAAACATGGGAGACTATGGGAATGTCAATCTGACAAAATCCTTTCATTTATTTTCTAACAGAGTCCCTGGATTATTAGTTTGAAATTAAGAGTATAAAGCATGCTCAGATTATGTATTGAATAAGAAGGTAAAATAGCATATGTGGGATTCATACTGGTAATGATTAAATTTGTTCATGTAAATAACAAGATCTACAATTAATATGATGCTTATAAATACTGAGTAATGAAGCTATAAAGTTTTAAAATTATTAATATTTTATTGTTTCTGCTTGACATTAAAGTTTATTTGATCACATTTATAATAATCAAATATTTTCATATGGGAAAATATGTCTGGGTTAAATTCTGGAAACCACAACAAATTCTCCACTTAAGGATCCTTTCTTCTCCCTTCCTTTCATTTTCTTAAACAATGTTTTACAAAACATATCTATATAACATTGATTTCAAGAAAAAATCTTAATTAGAAAACACCACTATCTTGGCTTTGTTGTCTCATGCCCAAAAACCTAGCTATTCAGGAAGCTGAGATCTGAGGATCTCAGTTTGAAGCCAACAGGAGCATGCAAGTCCATCAAATTCTTAACTCCAATCAGCCACCCAAAAGCTGTGGAGCTGTGACTCAAGTGGTAGAGCACCTTAAGCAAAAACACTCAGGGACAGTGCCCAGACCCTGAGTTCAAGTCTCAGGACCAGCAAAAAACCAAGCAAAGAACAAAATGCCCCCCACTAACAATGACCAACTGATTTAACCAGGAATATCTCCAGCAGGATGTCTCAGAAATACTGAGGTTTATGCTTTGTTATTCTTCAAGTGGGAAAGTTGCTTTAGGGATAAATGTGAGCATCTTGTGGATCCAGAGTTCCATGCACTGTGACACTTCCCTATTATTCCATTGAAATATTTATCAAGCAGCTCAATATTGTTTCTTACTGATAAGGTGGCGTGTAACAGTCAGACCCACCTGTTATACCTCCCAGATAATTTTGAGAGTGGAGTTAACTCTGATAACTTTTTCTGGTATGCTAGCAGGAATCTTACATGCCAATTCTTAGGAAGAATTGGGATTACTTTATCTCCAGAAACATCATCTGAGGAAGCATCAAAAGACAAAAAACTCTAGAACACATCACCTATGGAGACTGGAAAGGGAAGGAAGGGTTTAAGGGAAGATGTGGAGCTGGATCATAAGGATAAGAGTTTGCCAAGAATCCTATTAAGACGGATAAAAGAGAGAGAGAGAGAGATAGGAAGAACCTTGCCTTACCGCTGGTTTTCGGTTTCATTTTCTGCACAGAAATAAAAAGTCTTGAACTCTTCTGATGAGGGTTTGAGTTCAATTACCGCTTGTTTGAAGCCATGGGTTTGTTCACTGACCCTATAACCATGGAGATATAGGCCTCCTAAAATGTGAAAAGAAATAATGAATGAAGAAAAAAATGAAAAGAAGAAACTGTAAAGAGCAGAAGTTTAAAAGGTGACAAGGAAAATTTGAATGTGAAGGAATCCCCCGTTCATGCTTCAGTAGCCTCATTTTACAGGTGAAGAAACTGAGACTTCAAAAGAAGACGCAGGCAACTAGCAATTAGTATCAAGCCTGGCATTGGTTTCCACTTGTGCAATTTTCTTACTGCAGGATCAAAATTTAGCTTTCTGTGATGAGCTTTTTTTTTGCTCAGACTATACATCTTACACTTAAAAAGAAATTCAGTATCAAAGTATGATTGTTAGAGGGAAATTAAGTTGTATTTGCTGGGGCAGAATCACTAAAGCATTCTTCCTGAAGAATGATGGAGATTGCTGTCAGATTCTAAAAGCCAAAACATATCCTGCCTTCTTTGTGCATATGCAAAGTACATTCATAAAAGGAACCCAAGGAATGATATGAAAAAGACAACTATAATTAGCCATGAGACTAGTTGATTTACTTGAAAAATAAGAATTGCCTTCCTGAATCTATGTTCATGGTTATACTGTATGTACTTGGCCTGGATTTTATTTCCTTTTTGTTTTTTTAGAGGCCAGAAGAATCTCGGTATACCACAAGGCTCTGAAATATCCACACATTTTGTAACTTATGGTGTCTATGCTCAGTGCAGCCTGACCTAGGAATCATGGATGAACATCTGGCTCATGGGTCATATGAGACCCATGAACTTATCTGGTACATGATAGGACAGACACATATGCTTCTGACTGGCTGCCTGTCAGTATCTGCCTGTTTTGATACTTTTGTATGGCTCCTGAAAGTTATACATATCCAAATAGCCCTTGGCAGAACAAAGGGCCCATATCCCTGCCAGGTAATATTAGTATTTAAAGATATTTAAAGATTTCTGTTTACTCTTATTCTCATTCCCTAATTACTTCCAGGAGCCACTGGACTGTACCATAATAACAAAAGCAAAAAACAGAAACAAACTCTTGAAGACAAGTGCAGTGACCCATGCTGCTTATCCCAGATACTTCAGTGACTAGGATCTGCAGGATCGTAATTCAAGGTTAGTCCAGGCAAAAAAGTTAAGATCTCAACTAATAAGCTAGGCTGAGAGTAATCCTAGTATACAAGAAGCTATAGTTAAGAGGATTGACTTCAGAAGATGGCGCTCTTTGGGAAAAGAGTGTGAGAGTCTGCCTGAAAAAAACAACAACTAAAAAAAAAAAAAAAAGACTGGAGGGGTAGCTCAAGTGGTAGAGCATCTGCCTAGCATGTGCAAGACCCACAATTAATAACCCAGCGTTGCCAAAAAATAAAATCTGTTGAATCATTTTCCTCCCTCTGTCAATAGCTGATCTGTAAGTTGTCCCCTTTGAAAATGGCTGACTTTATTTTTTCTGGTTACATTCAGCACTCAGTGCACTGTCAGGATGATGTGAATTTTCTTTTAAAACAGAACAATTGGTTTCTGGATTTTAAAAATTAGGGGAAAACCCTTTCTAATTCTGGAGGGGTTAGATGTAATATTAACTTCCCCTTTAATTCCATTTAAAATGAGTCTATTTTAGAATATCTTAGCATTCATTTTAGAAGTGGACAGATTTTGCACCCCTGGTAGACTTCAATAATATGTTGTTTATCAAAACCACAGTGATAGATCCTTGAGATATATAGGGATGGAGAGATAAATATTTATTTAATTATATTTTATTTATTATATTTATTTATGTTTTATTATATTTTATATTTATTTATATATTATGTATATTTTTTGCCAGTCCTGAGGCTTGAACTCAGGGCCCAAGCTCTGTCCCTGAGTCTGTCTGTGCTCAAGGCTAGCACTCTACCACTTGAACCACAGTTCCACTTCTGGCTTTTTCTGTTTATGTGGTACTGAGGAATCAAACCCTAGGCAATGCTAGGCAAGCACTCTACCCCTAAGCCACATTCCCAGCCCACAAGGTAAATATTTATAATAACCTTATTGTAGTCCAATTTACACATCATCAAACATATCCAGCTGTTTAGTTTATATCATGGAGTTGTGCAATCATAACCATAGTAAAATTCTAGAATATTTTCCTCACTTCAAGAAGAAATAGCATGTCCCCAGCTGTCTTCTGTGGTTCCTGGTGCTAGACAATATACTTACCTGTTAATGAAATGCCATAGTTACTCTTCTGTCTAAATTCTTTGCCTTAACAATAGCACAAGCCTCTGCCTGCTGTTGCATTCATTTGTAGACCTTTCTTATTTCTTTCAGGTCCTTTTTAATATATCTCAACAAGTATTATCACCTTTTTCTACCTATCATTCTTGAGAATAGATGTAAGGTTTTGCTTAATAAGGTCTTCCATAAACAACAAAGGTTTTTGACCTATTTTCTGATCAGTGGTATAAGTGATTGCTGGTAAAGACAGCCAGTTATAACCAACTCCAGTACCTCATTTGAGGCAATTTTACTGGTTTGGGCTTTCTCTTACTGGATTCTGAACAAGTGTTAGAAAGCCAACATAGCCCAGTGTCAGTGTTTGACACCTGTAATCTTAGCTACCTAGGAGGCTAAGATCTGAGTATCTCAGTTCAAATCCAGCTCCAAAAGAAATGTCTGTGAGAGTGAGACTCTTATTTCCAACTAACCACCAGAAAGCTAGAAATGGAGTTATGGCTCAAATGGTAGAGCAAGAACCTAAGCCCTGAAGAACCAGGCCCTGAATTCAAGCCCCCGTACACATCCACCCCTAACCACCCCTGACACACAAAGAGAAATACAATGAAAGAAAGAAAGGAAGGAAGAAAGAAGAAAGAAAGAAAATAAGTAAGAAAGAAAGAAAGGAAAAAGAAAGAAGGAAAGGAAGAAGGAAGGAAGGAAGGAAGGAAACAAAGAAAGTACAATGTTAGCTGAATTATGAATCCTATTTATTACAATATTGTAAAACATGTCTTTCTGAGACATGTTTTAGACTTGTGATTTATTAAAAAACAATAGTCAACAGTCACAATTTGTTACTCCCAACTTTTGCTAAGAGAGATAAAGGGGGGGGCGGGGAATGTTCTCAAGTGTGTGGTGAATGACAAAGCCCTTCAGGCACATATAAAGGCACTTCACTGAGGCGCTTCTGGAATCCTCACAGTGGCTTCCTAATGTGAGCAGGCGCATGAGAGCCCGCAATGCATATTGTGTAAGTGCTAACACTTCTTGTGACAGCGAGGAAAGCCTTCCGGGAACCGAAGAGGCTATTTCTCTAACTCCCACATTACATGCCAGAGTGTATTTCTGTAGCTGAAAGTACAAAGTGGGTTTGATGTCTAATCTGGCTATTACAGGAACCCAGGGTTGGGCTGTCTCCCTTCACATTTCTTACCTCCCTTTGCTGCACTTAGTAGTCTCTTAGCATTGTAGGTGACGCTTTAAAAAAATATGTCAGGCCAATAATACTACAGATCCCTTCAGAAATAGGAAATAGATGTGTTTTCCCACATCTCAAATAAGAACATAAAGTAATGGACTAAAATATTATTTAAAAAATATATAAATTAGCAAAGCAACTAGGATGCTACAGACAGGAGGCCAAGTGAAGTGGTGATATCAGAAGCTTGTCTCTCAAGAACAAAGCAGAGATTTGCAAGCACAAAAATATTGGAAAAGAAGCACCATTTTTGTATATGCTGTTTCTGAGATTCTGAACATAAAATGGACTGTTTGATAAGTAAGTACTTATACAGGAAATTAACATTTTGTTTCAGGACTTTTATAAATTTCAGCTATAATAAAAAAATGTAACAAATGCAGATCTCCTCCCACTTTCATGTCATTGCTAAAACGTTTTGTGAAATAACATGATGTACCTTGATGTTTCTATTCGATTAAATTCTACATGTTTTTCAAATATTAATTATAACCTACTGCATTGATTGCATGATTCACGGAGCATTCTGAAAAGCACTGGTGTAAATGGTAAGCAAGACCTTCTTCAAGGTTATGACCTTCACAAGATGGGAAAATAAAGAACCAGAACATTGTGGGTGGGATGTGAAGAGCCAGGCAGATTTTATACAAGTAATGGAACAGCTACAGGTTAGAACAGTTTGAAATTCATTTACTTATCATTAACTAGAAGAATTAAGAAGAGTACTGGAACTCTGTGTAATCCTTATGAATGCAATAAGCATTCACATTTCATGCATATTAAAATGACTAATTTAAATTGAGCATCTTAGTGTCTGTAATGGCCATGCCTTAGTATAGGCTCAGCCACTCTCAATAAATTTACTTCTGCTTTATAATTTCTGTGACTTTTATGATAGATGGACTGGATAGACCCTGGCTAATTCAGTGTGCTGATGTCTGGAGTGGAGTGAATAGGCTCACAGCATTACCAGTGCTGCTTGAAAAAGAGAAATTTTAGCTGGATCCCAGTGTCTCACTCCTGTATCTCCAGCTATTCAGGAAGCTAAAACTCTGAGTATCACAGTTTAAGGTCAGCCCAGGCAGAAGGGTACATGAGACTCCAATTTCCACAATAACCAATTAAAAAGCTGGGGTGAAGGCATGACTCCAGTGGCAGAGCATCAGCTGAGTTGGCAAGAGAAATAAGCCTAAGACCTTGAGCTCAAACTTCATTATCAGAAAAAAAAGAAGTTTCTGCTAATATGCACTACACATTGCCCATGACAGAGTTTGGACGCACGATCCAGACAGCATTTGTTCCCACGATGTCTCTAACCAATTCTTAGGTCATTATTGCCATATTAGTTAACTTCTCTGTTTTTCATCCACAATGAGGAATAATAATAATAATAGGTATTTTGTAAAAATTAGACTTAGGAAAGGAGCATTAAATGCTTATGATACTACTCAACACATAGCAAACTTCCAATATATATGCTAATTTTTGTCCTGCATTTTCCCTTTTAATAGCATGTAAAGGTAGCATGTAAAGAACTCTAAATTCAGAACACTGAAATTCATATATTCTAGCCTCCTGGATATGAGTGTGGCTCAGCAAGGTTCTTCGTGAGAGGGTAGAGAATGGGTATGCCTCCACTTGGACTTGGTTTCATTACACTGAATCACTGTCTGTGAATACCAGGCTGGAGTAAGATTCAGGTTAAAATGCATAAAGGATTGAGCTAAACTCTTGGAGGAAGAATACAAATCCTAGATTAAAATTCTTTTTTTTTTTTTGCCAGTCATGGGGCCTGAACTCTGGGTCTGGGTGCTGTCCCTCAGCTCTTCAGCTCAAGGCTAGTGCTCTACCACTTGAGCCACAGCGCCACTTTCGGCTTTTTTTTTTCTTTTTGCTTATGTGGTGCTGAGGAATCGAACCCAGGGCCTCAGGCATGCAAGGCAAGGACTCTACCACTGAGCCACCTTCCCAGCCCCTAGATTAAAATTCTTATGGCTCTTACAAAGCTATCTCAATTTTGAAGAAAGGTTCAGCTATTATACCCAAGAGATCTTTCCTCTGCACTCAGCACTGGTCAATAGGTGGGAAAGGAAATGCAATGAAATTTGCTTTCTGGAGCAAGTTGCCTGTACAGTCAAATAGCATTCAGAGGAGAGTAAAAAAACATAGAAAGAACAACCAGAACGTAGGACTTAATTTTAGAATATGGCCTACATCTAAATTTTATGTTTGATTTTCAGAAAACAAATCTTCTGATCTATGTTGATTAAGAGATTTAATCCACATGTGGACAGGCTGTAAAACTGAGACTATGTGAAGGCAGGAATATTCAAGAAGTAAACTTGGGAAAGACGGGTATGCAATATTGTTGCTATTAATCACAGTGTTTATGTTTTTAAGGGAAGAATGTAAAAGAGACTAAAATGAGATAATTTCTTACAGTTGAAAAAGGGTGATATAACTTCTGGTCATGCATGAGGTTGATCAAGTTCTAGATTTGCTTTTGAATTTGCTGTGCAATCTTCTAATCTTTATTACTGAATGAACACATGAAAAACTTCATAATTTACACATGCAGTAAGTAGTGCAGAACATTTGAATGTTGAAATATTTATTCCAGCATTCATTTATTGTTTCATTTAGTGTTTATGAGATAAAGCCATTTCTAATGTAAACGATTCCTTAGAAAAGCCAAAGATAGAGCTGGGTGTCAGTGGCTCACACCTGTAATCCTAGCTACTCAGGAGGCTGAGATCTGAGGATTGCAGTTCAAAGCCAGCCTGGGCAGGAAAAATCCATGAGACTCCAATAAACCACTCAGAAAACCGGAAGTCGTGCTGTGGCTCAAGTGGTAGAGCCTTGAGCTGAAGAGCTGAGGGACAGCACCCAGGCCCAGAGTTCAAGCCCTGTGACCAACAACAACAACAAAAGGCCAAAGATATCCCTTGTGAGATAAAATACCAAGTGATAATTGTCACAGTACAGGTAAGCTCAGAAAATTGAAACCTACTTGTGGGACTATCTGGGATTGTTTTATAGCAGAGATAAAGTGCATCTGAACAAACATTTGAGAACAACTTATACTGAGAGTTCAGTAGGTATGCAAGGATTTTGAGGAAATAAAGTAATACCAACAAAGGTATAGGAGGTGGTCACAGAGATGGCTGTGCTAAGAAAATAGATTATCTGGGCTGGGAAGGTGGCTCAGTGGTAGAGCGTTTGCCTTGCATACTTGAGGCCCTGGGTTCGATTCCTCAGCACCACAAAAGCAAAAAGAAAAAAACCGGAAGTGGCATTGTGGCTCAAGTGGTAGAGCACTAGCCATGAGCTGAAGAGCTGAGGGACAGCGCCCAGGCCCAGAGTTCAGGCCCCACAAACAGTCCCCCCCCAAAATAAAATAAAATAAAAAGAAACTAGATTATCCATTACGTTGGTGGAGTGCAGGGAGCTTTTACCCAGCAGTGAAAGCTAAAGCCTGATACAGGGGCTGTTGGGCAGAGATCATGTACCCTCTAAGAGTAATTAGGAAGCAACCATAGGAGGTTCTGGAAGGAGGTTTTCAATGAAAAGGAGGTTTTTTCCCCCCCTACTTATCAATATTTTTTTAAAATTTAAATTCTGTCTTCACCATGAACTAGCCAGGAGATCAATGACTTGAATGTACAAAGCAGCATCTTCTAAGCCTGTAGATGAAATTATAACTTACCTTTGAGGTTCTTTTAAAAATGAAAAGCAAGTGTAAGTAAAACATGTAGCTGAGTAACCATGCAAGAGTCTACCTCATTAAATTGCAGTGGATGCTTCAGCCACTCATATTTTCAGGCCATGTAATCATAGCAATCTGCATGCAGCTCTGTAAGTAGGGCATTCCTATCCTAACAGAGTACCCCTTGACCTTTAGGAACAAGAGAAGCCATCTAATCATTACTATTTTTAACTCTTGGAATCAGAAACAGTCTCTGAACCCTAGGGGGTTTGGAAGTACTTTATCAACTTTTCCATTCGGAGAAGTCTGTGAATTCAATCTTTAAACATTTCCTTTCTATCTATGGAAACAGTCTCTTGAAATTTAGCTTAATTGATCTAACAATGAAGAGATCAGAATTTTGTAATGGTACTCTGTAATAAGAGTCCTAGTCAATGACTACTTCGGAAGTTAGATTACTTTGTCTTGATTTTTAGCCTGGCCACAGCTGCTTACATGGGTGATATAAGATGCATAGACACAGCCTGTTCTCTAAGTGTGAGGGTGTGGTGCCTTTCTTTTCATAGTAGTATGATAATCTGAGTCACATTTTAGAATGAAAGTCTGATTGAACAAGGGAGAGTCATTGGATTGTTCATCCTGAGTGATAAAAAATGGCCTTCCAATGACGCTCATGTTATACCTCCTGCAGACTTCTGAAATTCAACATTGTCAACAAATTAAGAGGCTGAGGTCTGAGAATCGTGGTTCAAAGCCAGCCCGGGCAGGAAAGTCCATGAAACTCTTATCTCCAATAAACCACCAGAAAACTGTAAGTCGCACTGTGGCTCAAGTGATAGAACACTCGCCTTGAGCTGAGGGACAGCACTCAGGCTCAGAGTTCAAGCCCCACGACTGACCAAAAAAAAAAAAAAATTGTCAAGAAATGTCTCCTTCCCACCTGACATGTCTACCTAGCTCAATTAAACATAAGCATGAATGACTAAAATAGAAATTAGATGAGTCATATTTCATGGCGATTACAACTGGTAATTAAGGATTATTCATATGACAAAAAAAATCAAAGATAAATCTTGTGCTGGTGGCTCATGCCTGTATTACCAACTTCTCAGTAGGCTGAGACTCACCAAATAAATTAGAAACCAGACTTGAAGAACAGTCTGTGAGATTCTGTATCAATAATCACCAGCAAAAATCAATACTAGAAGAGTGGCTCAAGGGATGGAACACCAATGAAGCACACAAACATGAGGCCCAGAATTCAAAGCTCACTATTATCAACCCTCCTCCAAAAAAACAAAACAAGAATATCAAACTCAATTATAAGGAAGACACCAATAATTTATTGGTAAAGAATTACAAGAATGCCAATCTATTTTTGAAATTTAATAAAATATCCTATATATGTAGCTTAACATACTATATATAACTTGAAAATACAAGTAAGAAATATATATGAAGTATATTATAAATAAATATCTATGAGATCTTTTTATTCACATACCATTATGTTTAGAGCTAAAGGTACTTTAACAACAATGACTCAGTTAATCTTCACAACAATTCTGCAAAATAGATAGATGGTATTTCTATTTTATAAATGAAGAAAGTGAGTTTTAGGAAGCTAGAAATAGCAAATATTATTGTTATTCATTTGTAACAGTAGAGAGACCATGAGAAAACAATGGAATTAGTACTTTGTAATATGATTGGCATTGACATTGAATGTCACCCAAGACCAAAAGAATGAAGGAATTTATGTTTTAATTTCTAGGCAGCAAAAGCGTGAGAGTCAAATCTTAGCTTCATTATGTACTTTATTGCGTACTATATGTCACATTGTTCAGATTTTGTACCCACCTTTGTTTGTAGGGCCTCATGTTCATGAGGCAGGCACTCTACCACTCAAACCATGTTTCTATCCTCTTTCTGTCTTATTTTCCAGGTAGAGTCTTGCTTTTATGCACAAATATGTCTGGGCTGTGTTCATCCTACTTGAGCTTCGCCATGTTGCTCAGGATGGCAAACATGTGCTCCTCTATCCAGCTATTGTTAATCCCATAGCTAGGATAACTCATGCATGCCACCATCACCGATCATTGGTCGAGATGGAGTTGTGCTCATTTTTATGCCTGGATTGGCCTTGAACCATGATTCCCTGGTCTCCTCTCCCAAGTAGCTAAGATAATAAACTTGAACTACCACTCCCAGCTTTGAAGACAGTTTTCTAATTTGTAAAATGAGAGCATTAATAGTATCTTTTCTTTGGAGAACTGATGAGCTAATTCAGGGGAAACACACCCTACAGTTCCTAGTGAAGGCTCAGTCAAGCAAAAAGACCATTCCTATTGTTAATGTCTTTTCTGTGATTTCAAGCAAAAACTTTCCTTACCTGAGGCCTGGGTGGAACGAATGCTGGCATAGAAATACAAGCAGCCATCCTTGAGAATGCAATAGTATTGGACCCACGTGTCTGTGTTTCTATCCAGCCGGTGCAGAAGGCCCAGACACTCTGGATTTTTGATAGCCAAGGGTGGGAGGTTGCTGTTGTGAGCAGTAACATCTTCCCAGACGTGATTCTGCAGGTAGAGCACAAAGGGATCGCTCGAGTTGTCATCCTGAACTAACTGCCTGGACTTTGAGAGCCAGTGACACTCATACTACTTGTGTTTAGGGAGGTCATTACCATAATGGTTTTATTGCTAAAATAATTTATGGCTCAAGTGACTGAGTAGCCAGAAAACTCAGATCTATCCATCATCCATACAAAACCCTCATCCCATTTGAAGTCTATCCACATCCCTTCTTTTTGGCTTTTATTATATGCTGAGAAAAAAAAATCAAAAGAACATCAGCCTAAGAACAGGAGATGAGGTATAGAAATGAAATGGAAATAGGCTGCTCAGCAAAGACTATTTTTAATGCCCCCATTTATAGAAATGTTGGCCTGAAATGCTCCTTCATTCACCACAGAGATTGACCTCCTTAGCCTGTTCCTGGTATGTCCACCGTGACTAATAGCAGCCCCTGGTTCATGCTTTTCTTTATCAGGAACTCCCACTTGGGCAAAGGAATAAGTTAAATGCACCAGACCCGCTCAAGCCTTAGGCTCTCATGGTCAGTGATGTGGAAGACTGATGATAAATGGGGGTCCTCTACCCTTGAGGGCAGCCCTCAGTCCACAAGCCTGGGAGAGAGGCTTTTTCTGAGAACTCTGACCTGTGGCTGGGGACACTGCACTTTCTCTCTCATCAGAGCACCCTGCTTGTATTGGCCAGTTACTCTTCTTGCTTTAGTTTTATTTTTTCTTGCTCTTTCATCTTAATAAGGCAGTGCAAAAAGCTTCTAGACTGTTATGATTGCTGTATTTTTTTCCTGTGAAGTAGAAGCCTGCTGGGAGTTTGGTGTTCATGTTTTTCACCTTTGTTGCAGACATTCTGAGTGCATTTGTTGAATAGATACCTCTTAAAAATATTCAGGCACATTAGGCCGATGCATTGGAAGGAAGGATGAGTGCACTGAATGATATGTTCCAGGAAACATGAAACAAGTTCTGCTGTTTGTCCTGCTTGTGAGTGTTATGAAAGGGCAGTTACAAAGCAAGGTACGTCATTCCTGCTCAAGCAATGTGAATTTCCCCTGATGTATGCAATCTAGACTACCTATGAAGATATCATTGGCAATGGACACCATTTGTGAGAATGGTACCATAAAGACACGCACCTAAGTATGAAGATTGATTTTCTAACAAACTGCTTGGACAACAGCACCAGCTCAGGATAGCTGAATGCAGATTTTATGTATAGGACTAAAAACTAGCAAGATCGGTAACCTCTTTGGGAGCCACTGGACTGCTCTGTGTGTAGCAGAATCTCCATCCCCAGTTCTGACTCCCTATGAAGTCTGATTGGGAGCAACGCCATACAAACCTCAGACGATAGAAAGGAACAGCAGGGAGGAAGCTTCCATATAGGATCTGAGCAAAACCCCTGTTAACTTAAAAAATCATTTTTCTCAGCTTTTAAAACAGATCTAAAATGGGGCAGGGAAGGTGGCTCAGTGGTAGAGTGTTTGCCTTGCATGCATGGGCCCTGGATTTGATTCTTCAGCACCACATAAAGAAAAAGCTGGCATTGGCACTGTGGCTCAAGTGGTGGAGCACTAGCCTTGAGCTAAAGAGCTGAGGGACAGTGCTGAGGCCCAGAGTTCAGGCCCCACAACCGGCAAAAACAAACAAACAAAAAAAACCAAAACAGAGGTCTAAAATGTCCCAGTGTGGACTGAATGACATCTAATGTGATCTTGCCCAAAATGAAGGCAGAAAAAGCATCAAGGAGAACTTACCTGGTGAATAGGATGGGCTGCTTTGTCCATTGCTTCAAGCCACCTGGAAGACAGTAAAATAAGAAGGGGACTCTGTGACGGATTGGGTAAGCTGTCACGTTGAGGGACTTGATCTTGCTAAACCCATCAGACAGAGTAGTCTGAATGGGCAGGTGAGGTTCAGATGTTATGATTTTTCTCTAAGTTCTTGGGTGAAGGGCAACATGTTCTTTCCAAATTGAGGCTGTGCGGCAAAACCTCATCCCTATAGGAATATCTAAAATACAATTTTCTTATCCTTGTCCTTCATAGTTTAATTAGTGCCTGAGAGAAAATTCATTCACTATTTTATTAACATATGTAATTTATTTGCACTATCAGAGCTGATAACAATTGGTATATTAACTCCAGGGAACTGGCTACAACATATGGAAAAACTGTTAAGTAATCACTGTCTTAAATCTTTTCCCCAAGTGTTCCTTGGATCCTGGCCATCTTTAGTGCATGATAAGCATCTGTTCTTGAGGACTGTGTTTTCCTAGTCTTGCTCCTTAGCTAGGCACCCGCAATGTCAATCATGTCAATCATTCACAGTTTTCTTTTAGACTTTCTTTTTTCTTTTTTTTGTCAGTCGTGGGGCCTGAACTCTGGGCCTGGGTACTGTCCCTGAGCTCTTCAGCTCAAGGCTAGCACTCTACCATTTGAGCCACAGCACCACTTGTGGCTTTTTCTGCTTATGTGAACCCAGAGCCTCATGCATACAAGGCAAGCACTCTACTACTGAGCCACCTTCCCACCTCTAGATTTTCTAACTTGTAAGAAAAACCCCACTACTTTTTGTCCTCTCCAAAGCTTGATTTACTCCCCCTTCCATCCTATGTTTAATTTCTTCCTTTGTATGTTATCCAAACCTACACTATACCTGCCATAAATAATTCCTTCATTCTCACAGCAAACCACCCCCCTCTCTCCTCTCAATTCCTATACCACTTCATCTTCTCCTGAAGAGTGTTTCAACTTTTACTTTCTTATAAGAATGTCTTGGACACGCAAGATACCCCACAAATATTTCATTATCATATTTCCCTGTGTGTCAATTAATAAAATAATACCTATTTGAAAATTTATTCCACATATAGGGGTAGTACATTGTTTGTCAATGAGATATCAGATCTATTGGTCACTTCAAGATTGGTCAAATTCTTTTGAAGAGATATGTCATTGAAAGTAGATACTGCTACTTTTTTTGTCATCAATTTTCTACCCTTCACTCAGTCCTGAACACTGTTGCAACTTAGCAGTTCTTTTTGTTGTTGTTGGTGGTGGTGGTGGTCAGGGGGCTTGAACTCTGCACCTGGGCACTGTGTCTCAGGTCTTCAGCTCAAGACTAGAGCTCTGCCACTTGAGCCACAGTGCTACTTCTGGTTTTCTGGTGGTTTATTAGAGATAAGAGTCTCATGGCTTTTCCTGCCTGGGCTGATTTTAAACCACAATCCTCAGATCTCAGCCCACTGAGTAGCTAGGATTACAGGATGAGCCACTGGCACCCTGCAATTTAGCAGTTCTTTAAATAGTTTTCAGTTGATTGATTGAATTGACCCAGGATCCCATTTCCTTAGGAAATTCCTGAGGACAGATTGTGGAGGATAGTGATCAGAGATCATAAGGTACTTTCTCCTTTCATTTGGGTTATATACCCACAAAAAACTGGGTTGATTAATCATCTAAGCAACATTGTGTGTGTGTGTGTGTGCGCGCGTGTGTGTGCGTGTGCACGTGCAGGAACTTTGGGGAATTCCAGGTGTGAACTGTAGCAGTGTTGAATTTTGAAAAAGAAATGATAAAGATCTAAAGTGAGAGAGGTAAGAGAGCTAACAGAATATGTACTCTGGAATATCTTTTTGAAAAAAAAACCTGAAAGAATTATGAAGACTCAGACTTCTTGTACCTGCAGGAAAGATAATTAATTCATTGACTTATGATACAGATTTGTTGCACTATTTCCTACTTCCAATTTCAAGAATCTACTACAGTTGCTGTGGACAAGCACTACTGAAAGCAAAACTGGCAAGGAAAAAATGGATGAATTACCTTTTCATTTCTTGGTTTGAGGTTGCACAGAGGCAAAACATTCTACTTCCAGACTGAGGAACACAGTTAAACACGAAAGGTTTCCCCAAGCTGCTATCAATGCTAACTTCTGCTCCTTCTAATTTTATTACCTCTAGAGGTGGCCATTTTCCTTCATCCTGTAATTGATAAGGAAGATATTTAGTATTGCTCTAAAACTAAACAGATAAGAGAAAATCAGAGAAGAAAAGCACTACAAATTATTGTTTTAAATTAGTAGTGATTTAGTTCTGAATAAAAATAAAGCTAAAAAGAGGTCTTATAGATTAAATTATCCTTAATATAGATCATGTAATTCCAAATTTCCCAATTGTACTATATTTCCATGCATCTTTTGAATAGACTTTATTAATGTTTCATTTATGCTTGCCTGAAGCATTTTAAATAAATTATTTTGCATTTTTCCATGATCAAAAGAAATTGATACTACAAAATACACATTGTTGTTGGTGATATAACCTTTATAAATGGTACCTATAGATACATGTATTCCATGTTTACTGTGTTTCAGTGCTTCTTCTAAATTCTTTGCATCTATTAAAGAACTAATTTCCACCAGTGCTCATGAGGTAGCATTATTTTTAACATCTTCATTTTATACATCAGAAACATGTAGCTTGAGAGAATTCCTTTCGGAAAAACACTGTAGTTTTGCATACCATATAAAATGAAAATAATTTAATAAGCAAAACCTTTTTCTGTTATTTATTTTATAATTATTTCTCAAAGCCTTCCTTCCATTATTATCTTTTCTGTAAATTACCTGAGATAATTTGTGTATGTACCACAAAGTCACTTGCTGTGTATGTAATAAATTCATAGACTTAGAGAATTCTCATTGTGATTAAGTTAAAGAATTTTTACATTAACTACAAAATTTTCTTTGAGTCAATTTGCAATCTTGTGCTACTATCTTCCCCATCACAGACAACCAAAGATTATATTTTTGTCTTAATACATTTTTAATTCCTCTACATTTAATATAAATGCAGTCATACCAGAGTTTCTTGTATGATGTAGTATTATCAATACTTCATTATTTTCAAGGCTGCATTGTGTTCTGTTGTATGCATATGTGTACACACACACACATACACACCACATTTTTTTGATTCATGCTTCTGTCAAGGGGCATCTAGTTTGATTCCCATATCTTTGCTATGGTAAATAATGCTGTAATGAACATGGTTGTTCTGGTAGCTTTAGGGTAGCCTTGTTTGTGCCCTGTTGGATAAATTGCCAGTGAAATTGCTGGATCATAGGGTAGCTCTACATTTAATCATTTGAGGAACCACCAAATTGCTTTCCAAAGTGGTTGAGCAAGCTCACATTCCCACTAACAGTGTTCCCTTTTGGCCACATACATGCCAGCATTTGTAGCTGTTAATTTTCTTGATAATGGCCATTCTAACTGAAGTGAAGTGGAATCTCAGTGTTGTTTTGATTTGCATTTCCTTTAAGGCCAGAGCTGTTGAATATTGCTTCATGTATTATAGCAGAATTCAAAGGAATTTACTTACATGACTCCTATCATATAATCAAGAATTGTAACTGAAGTCACTTAGGAGGCTTTTTCCTCTCTGCTTACGTTACATGTATGTGAGAACAAATGATGTCTGGATTTTTGGTTTTCATCATGGGCCAGATTTCATTTTCACTAATATCAGTCACTGCCTCATTTTCTTTGGTAGTGAGCTTGCTGTGGCCCTGGGAACAGCTGCAAAAAGCTTTGGTCACAGAGCCCATGCAGCAGGTGTGGACGTTCTTACATCTGTGCTTACTCATCTTACTGTTTCCTAAGGTTCACCAGCCCAAGAACTTCTAAACTCCATTTCTGAGATCGAGAAGTAGGAAAAGTCTTCATTTGTACTACTCCTAATACTGTCCTCATTATGGTCCCACATGTTTTCTTGAGATAAAGGACAACTAGGAATTCTATTTTACTGCCATGTGTTATTTTTTTTAACTACTGCCTTAAGCAAAACTCAATCCCTCTGTTTGGCAATGATCCTTAAATTGCTTCTGTTTGGTTCCCTCTGTACAATTCTGCCAAAAACCCCTCTTATGGCAGTGCTGAGAACAATGAATACTCTTTTCCACACAACTTTATATTCTCCTTTCCAAGGCACAAAAAAATCTCTAGCTGCATTTTCTATTCTGAGTTAATTCATAGGTTCAGCTGCTTCATGTGTGCAGGATTGATTAAAATAGCAGGGATGCTGAAGAGATTTAACAAGAAATAGTTTAGTGATGTCCACAAGCTATAGATTGAGAATAAAGAAATTTGAGCTATTTATGCCAAATAGCCTTGGATAATGTTGATATTGTCTATCAGATTGGAAGCAGTATTTCTGCAGATGTATTTCCAAAGGTAAGACTGCTCAGAGAAAGGAAATATTAAGTAATAATAATCATAGAACCTCAACTCAGAGTGAATATACTTCTAAAACAAATTATTTCTACGAATAAAAAGACAAAGACATTTGTGTCTTTTTGAAATAAATTTTGAAATAAATTACCTACAGATACTTTTCAATTATTTGCTTTAGTCAAAATTTTTATTTGAACATGCTGGAAGTTTTTGTGTGTGGTTGCTAGTCTCCTAGTCTAAGAAAAGGGAAAAGCCTGGAATATGATAGCAATAAATTTCGTTTTATCTGGAGATGTGGCCATGAAAATCTACACACTCAGGAGTCCAGAAAGAAAGAGCTAATTCTCAGTGGAAAAAAACAGAGCCAAGATAACTTTGAAGGAGAAAAAAAAGCATGCCCTACAGCAAAACACCACATAAAGGGAACATGAAATATAGAACTAGAAATGCTTTTTTATATAAAGTTGAAGCACAATTGATGAATAAGTGCCCCATATAGCCTTGTTAGTGAGCTGGGAACCGTTTATCATGGACAGATGCAGCACACTCTTCCTTCTGGTCAATGGCCTCTGTCCATATCGCAGATGACAGGACCAGGAGAAAAGAAAACTTGAATAGCTAAGAAGGAAGGAAAGAAGCAAGAGCAATTTCCCCGTAGTGACCTTTGCTACTTTTGTCCTGTGAGGAAACAGAAATTTGGTCTTTACAAGCCAATCACTGTACCACTTATAGCAGAATATTTATGTACTCATGTGTTTATTGATTTGTTTCTTTATTTGCTTTCTTTATCTCCCCTCTAGGAATGCAAGAAAGGATGGAAATAAACAGGAAATAAAAAATGAAATGAACATGAAAATCAGACTTTTGTTCATGGACAACACCAGATTCCTTATTAAGGCTCCATGAGTTTGGCATTTCTTTTTTTTTTTTTCCTTTATAATCAAAGAAAGAAAATTTAAGCTGGAGACGAATGTACTGCCCCCAAAGTTACAAAAACATAAATAAAATATAGAACGTAAATAAAAGATTCCATATTTAAATATGGTATGGCTCTTCATGAAGATTCATGGTTGAATCTGTGGTATCAACCGAGGTAACTGGCTGCAAACTTGGAATTTTGTGTGTACTTTTGCAGTTTTCCTGGTGTGGAAAATCATTTTTCAGAAGTGATAAATACACGCTGGCTGAACCATGTTGTTTCCTGGCACTAAGAGACTCCAGAAAACACTGGCAGCTCTTACAACCAAAGGAGTTTGTCTGCACTGGACCAACCAGGATGCTGTGCCCAGTCAGACAGGCTTCCACTGGAATGTGAGCCAAGGGAGGGAGCTGCCAGAGGTATTAAAGCATGGGCTGCCTGACATCTACTGCTTTGAAGAAAAATTTCTGGTGTCAATCACATGGCTCATTTGTCAACATTTTCCTTGGCTCCCACACTACCCCTTAGAGGATAACTACACCTTCTAGCACTTTTATCCAAACAGAAAGACTGTGAAGTAGTGGAACTGAGACACAATCATGACCTTGTTGTCTCTCATAGCATTCTGCATCTTTAAACTCTTTAAAGTGGAGGTTCCTCTCTGAAATAAGGAATAGTAGTTCTCTCTTATATTTCAGAGGACATCTTTAAAGGATCCCTGTGAATATCCAAGGCAGATGGTACTGAACCTTGTACCGGCCATGGTTCTTTATGTCTTCAGTGTTCACACAGTACTAGAGCTAATCCATCCCTCCATGCTTTGTGTCTGGGAGTTTCCTTTACATCACTAATCTTACACTTTATGGCCATAATTAACAAAAATAAAATAATAAATTGAAGTACTGTCGTACCATGAAAATCAATCTGATTAACCAAGTGACTAATAAGTAGGTGGAAAATACAGAACAGAAATGCTGCACAGAGAAGTCATTCACCATCTGACTGGGATAAAGCTGGATGTTGTGAGATTGCATGACATCATTCAGAAGGTCCTAAAATAAAACCTGGAAATCATTTTGGAGATTTCCCATTTAATATTTTTGGAAGCCAGTTGACCATGGGAAATGAAACACTGAATCCTCAGAAGGCGAAACTGAGTAATAGGGAACTACTGTTCTATTTACCTGTAGCGGAGCCAGGTTAGGTGAATTCCAATCTTATTTCTATTATGCCTCAGTTTTCTTATTGTAAAATTGTATTTCTATAAGGATTATGTAAAGTGTTCAGAACGCTGCCTAACGCTTCATAAGTGATATTTAAATCCAAGCTTCTATTTTTAAAGAGATGCTGATAAAAGTGAAGAGTGAGAATCTAGGAAAGCAATTAACCAAGAATCTTTAATATTAGTAGTAGGGTAACTATTTAAAGTAAGTTCATTATAGCTATGGGGTTTTTTTCCTCTAAGTATTAAAGACTGTTTGATCAGGTTTAATTTCTGAATTTCAGTGCCTTCATTTGTACAATAAAGAAAGGTAACAACATCTTCCTTCCTGAAAATAGATGAGCCCATATAGGTCAAGTGTTTGGCACATAACAACTTTTCAGAGAAAGCTGTTTCTTTCCCTATCAGTTTAAGTGTAAATTAAGCATCACCACAATCTCACTAAGAGCCAGAGGGGCTGTGTTAGAAAATATCCTGCTCCAGAGCCAGGCACGGTTAGATTGGGAGGGAAACTGTGCTAGGGCCGGACTGAGGAGAGAGTAGGATGGAGGCTGGAAGACTTGGTTTTTCTCTGTCTTGGAAAGGAGATGTAAAGATCTAACTGGCA